GCCAGGGGCAACGGCTGTTTGTGCAGGGTTTGGTGTACTGCGTCGGAGAGGCCGAAGGGGAATGTCTTGAGTGTCGCTGCGATAGCACGATGTATGAACGCCTCCCGCTGCGGTACTTTGGTGAGATACGTAACTAGTTGCTTCAGAGTCTGCATGCAGCTCTTGAGGGGCAGACGCATGCAGCACTGTGCAAGGCAAGCCACTCCCTGGTCAGCCATCTGTTGACTGAAGGCCTCTGTGCGTCCTTTGTTCTGTCGACTCGATACCTTTTTCCCCTTTTCTTTCTCTGCTCCATCTCTTGTAACATTTTCTTGAAGAATTGCCCATAAAGCTAAAGGCACACAAAAGTGCCGCACGGTGTTCACGCAGAGTTTCTGTGCCGCTGCCGCCTTTGCAAGCAGCTGCAACCCTCTCGCTCTTCTGTGTTTTTGCATGTGCAGCAGCTCCAACAACACGTCTCCTCCGCTTTCGCGCTCAGAAGCTTGGTGCTCCCCTGCAAGGGCCTCCAGCTCTGCAGCCCTGGCAGCAGCTGTGGCTGCACGCGCGATCTGCCCGCTGGAAACAAACTGCTGCGCAAGCGCAGCAGCTTCTTGAACTGCAGGTGTCAGCTGCGTTGCTGTCAACAGCGAATACAGGTCCAAGTGCAGCCGCATACTCCTCTGCTGTTCATCTGCATCGGAAAGAAATAGAGCTGAGACGGATTCCGCATCGAGAGCTGCAGCAGCACGAGGCGGTGGGAGTAGAGGGCCTGCTGGCCCCAGCGTCCTCACAAGTGCATCCAGCGCNCTGCAGCAGCACGAGGCGGTGGGAGTAGAGGGCCTGCTGGCCCCAGCGTCCTCACAAGTGCATCCAGCGCTCTCAACGCCATCCGCTGAGAATCTTCCTTGACGCTGCGCATGAGACGGTGGAGGTGCGGAATGATGGATTTCATGATGAGTCGCTGCATTGCCACAGCAAAGCCCCAATCAGACTCTTCCTGTTCCTCGTCCTGCTGCAGCTCCTGCTGCTGTTGCGGCTGCTGATATGCAGCAAACTGCGCTGCTGTTCGCCGCGTTGCTGCTGCAGAAGCCGCTGCACCTAGAGCCACAGCTGCCTTGCGGACGATTGTCAGAGCCACGTGCTGCAGCGTGAGGTCGTCGGAGCACTCAGAGAGAAGGTACAGCATGTGTTGCACTACGGGCTCGAACGCGGAGGCAGGGAGGTGTAAGCGAGGCGCAGGAGGCATCGGGGATCCTTGTGCCTGCAGCGGTTCCGCTTCAGCACTCTTTTGCACCCCTTGCGGTGTATCTGCTGCTTCTTTCTGTTGCTCGTGCATCCTCTCTTTTGCATCTGCGTCTTCATCCTTCTTCGCCCCTGCTGCTGAGAACTCCTGCTGCTCCTCAGATGCATTAGCAGTATATCCGGCCAGGGCAGGAGGAGTTAGGTAGTTCTCCACCACCGTCAGCAATACTAACATCTGCATGTCTACATCTGGCCTCTGATCCTCCGGGGCACCGTAGGCCCCCCCCTTCAGGAGGTTTGCACAGACCATCACGAGGGCGACGCTGACACGCCACGTGGCTGCCCGTGTCAGTGCCCTACTGCTGGGTGGAGCCGCTGTGCTGCTGCCGCTGCTGCCGCTGCTCTCTTCTAGGAGAGAAGGCAGGGCATTCTGTAAGAGACTATTACAGAGATGTCCCCCAGGAGTTAACCAGGATACAGCAGATGTTCGTGATGCATCTTCGCCCTCTTCCTCAGCACGTCGGTAAGTACTCAGCTCCTTCATTGCAAAGTCACGGATCTGTGTCGAGAGAACAGCCTCAGGCAGTTCGCATCCGCATGCAGCGAGTTCTGTTGCCAGCAGCACTTCAGCTGTAGCAGCGCGGCACTGCAGGTCTTCTGCACACTCAAGTAAACCGCAGCATGCCTCATACAGTCCCCGCAACAGGCCACGGAGCTGCATCGTACCACTTCCTGCGTCAGAGGTAGACGCTATAGACCGCCTCCAGCTAGCAACAGACGGTAACAGCCCCTGTATAGCCGCAAGTGTCAGCTGCTGCCGCGCTGCTGCACCCCCCGATCGAACGCGTAGAGGCAAGGAAAGAAGCAGCAGGCGAACCAGCTTTGCTGTCGTTGGAATTGCAAGTTCATCAGAAGCAGAAACTTTACTCACAGACGAGGCTTGCTGTAGGCCCTTGTCCGCGCATGCATAAGCAGCAAGGCGGGTGAGAAGCTGCAGCTCTTTGAATCCCACAAGGAGTAGTCTCTCTCTCCGCTGCGTTAGGGGCTGGGGTTGCGCTGGGTCCTGCAGAGGCGGAGCAGTGGCCCCTTCAGAGGCAGCGAGGGGTTGTTGCTGCTGCTGTTGTTGCAGTTGTTTTTGTTGTTGCTGGGTTGCTGGCTGCTCTTCATGTTGCTTGCGGGCAGTCGCGCCTCTTCTTGCAGTTAGCAGCAACTCCATGCCGTGCAGCAAAATGCTTAAGTGAGGAAGCAATACTTGTATCCCTCGTTCTTGTTGAAGCTGTTGTTGTCTTTGCAAGGCCTCGTAAGCCTCTTTAAAGGTTTTCAGAGACCCTGTCTTGTCGCTCTCTATAAACCCCTTTTCTTGTTCGTTCTGCTCCTCTTCGTCGCTGTCATCAGAAGAAGACGATTGATAGCCCGTGCGTCGGCGTCTCCTCTCATTTACATGTTTCATAGCATTGAATTCGCGCCGAGACAGCCGCAATTCTTCCTCCTGCTGCTCCTTCGTGCGGCCTCCAAACGATAGCAGCAAAGCCGTCTCTATCGCCACCTCCAGCAAAGGCGTCGTGTTTCTCTTGCTGCGCTGCAGGAACCGCAGCAGCGGGTCAGACCCTATAGCCCCAAGGAGACACGGGAGGGCCTTGGGGAGCAGTTGTTCGTACAACACAAAGTAATCCTATAGAGTAGAATACACACAGACACACACACACACACACACACNACACACACACACACACACACACGCAGATATATAATAATACATAAATAGAAATAAACACATAAATAACAATGCTAGAAATGAATCTCCAGGCCAAGGAAAAGAATCTGTTGAAGACGAGCACTTAACGGGCTGAAAAAATATGTTTCATGGCTTTCCAGATATTCACAACATGTCAGTGAAGCCAATCAACAGAGAGCTCTGCATAACGTCTGGGAAGGGGCGGCGCTGATAGAAGCCTTGTTATAACTTGGTGCCTCAGGGTGAACCCCAATGCCGGCTGGCTTAGAGAACCTCCTACGCTACTACTGCTGCATCTATGTGCTGTGTGTATTCAGTTTGCTGCTGATTGCTTTCATATTGTCTCACCGCGTTTGATGCCCAGGAAGCAACGAAACGCACAACTGCAGGGCACTTGCTGCCCCCCTTGATATCCCCTGAAGAGCCCGTTGCCCCCGTCTCTACCGCTGTTGCAAGAAGCAGCTGCAGCGCATTTGCTGCTGGAGCCAGCAGCATTATCCACGCCCCAACAAAGTCCGGAAAGGCGTTGAAGAGCCGATGCAGCGCGTCAATCGCGATTCGAATGCAGTGTTTTCTGTGTCTTGCATTGATTGCAGCACTAGCCACCTCGCCTCTCCGCTCCCCTGGTATGAGTTCAGTGGTGTCATCAGCTTCATCCAACGCTCTCTCCCTCTCTGTTTGCTGTTCTTCAGCATCCGGCTTATCTGTTTCCTCTCTTACAATCTCCCGCACCCCGGTGGTGACGCAGTTGTCTTCAGGCTTCACAGAGACAAGTTGTTGGAGAATCTCGCCAAAGAGAAACACCAGGAAAGGAGCTGCTGGCCTCAATGTGTGTTGCTGCATCTGAACCAGATGCTGCAGCGACTTGAGAAGCCCGTGCAGCTGAGTTGATGAAGATGGCCCCAGCAGCTGATCTGATAGGGTCACATAGACTGGGGGCTCCTCCGCCGCCTCGTCGCACTTGGAGTCAACAGCAGCAGCAGCTGCTGCAGCGGCAGCAGTAGTAGCAGCAGTACCAGCAGCTGCAGCCCAAGAGGCAGCGTCTCCCAAGCTCTTTGCTCTGCGGTATTGCCAACGAATGAAGGAGACAAGTGCCCGCTCCTTATCCATACCCTCTAGAGGAGTTGAAGCCCTTATATCTTCTTCTCGTGAAGCAGCAACAGGGTCACTGACACGGGGAGTCAGGCGCAGCAGCCGCAGCGACAACACCGCCAGCACCATTGAAATCTCCGTCTCCTCAAGGCTGCTCAGCAAGCCGAATATTCTTCGCCGGTTTGCCAACACAACTCCAGGAGACCTCCCCCTGAACATCATCACAAATGCAGATAGCATCTCATGACAACAAAGCTGCTAGTCTCGTTTGAAATAAGAGAAAAACAACGCGAAATTAAATATGTTGAGGAACGTATCCCCAGTTTAACACTATCCACCAACTGACACAAGGTAAACAACCAGGAGAGGCTGGCCACTAGCGGAAACGCTCGAGGTGAGCCTT